GGTCTACAAGAGCTAGTTCCAGGACAGCCTCCAAAGCCACAGAGAAACCCTGTCTCAAAAAACCAAAATAAATAAAAAAATAAATAAATAAATAAATAAATAGATAGATAGATAGATAGATAAATAAATAAGAAATTAAAAGTAATGATAAAAGCAGGGTGTGGTGGTGGCACATTCCTTTTGTCCTAGCATTTGGGAGTTAGAAGCAGGCAGACCTCTGTAAGTCCCAGGCCAGCCAAAGCTTTGTAACAAGACCCTGTTTTAAAGAAACAAACTAACAAAATAACAAGCAAAAAGCAGTGGCAAACTATCAATTAAAGCAAGAATTCATGGATCTATATGAATATAAATTATACAACCACAAAATGGGTATAATTGAAAACTTTTCCTTAATATAGAATGTTAACTGATAAAGGGAAAATAAAGTGGAGTTTTTTTGTTCTGTTTTTGCTCATTGTTATACTACTGACTGGCTTCAGCAAAAATCAGCAATAGATGGAATAACAATCGGTGAAAGTTTGAGAATAGGACATTAAAAATATCAAAATATCTACCTGCTAGACACTTATTCATTATAAAGAGAAAGATTATAAAAGGAGAAATATCTATGTAATTAATATTATAGATTATGGGACCAGTTGACATCATTTGTTTCTCTAGACAACTCGTTGAAATGAAACCAGCATTACATCTTCAGTATGTTTACTTAAGATACAGCTTTGAGAAAATCTAAGATAAACCTAAACTGAGGAACAATGTACAAATGGCCTGTACTCTTCAAAATATCACTTTTATGAATCATGAAGGAAGTCTGGAATAGTTCCAGCAAACATGACTTAGGTGACAGCACAGGAACCACCACATCGCCTTGGGTTTTCTTTTGTTAAAAGGGTATAAATTGGAGAACTGGAAGGAATTGAGGAAGAAGAAAACGTGATCAAAATATATTGCTTTTTTTTTTTTACTTAATTTCTTTTAGAGGGCAGGAAATAACTAGGATGACAAATGCAATTTCAGTAGGGCATGTAGAGGAAGTGATAGCATCCCGTTAGTGCTAACTCCTATGGGGTGTGTGAGATCTCTTTAAATACCCAGTGAAGTCAAGACTGGTAAAGAAATGCTGTATCTCCAACTTTTAAAGAACTCAAAAAACCCTTTAGGAGTGACAATAACTGTGGTAGCTTGAACGAGAATGCCCCTGGTAGGCTCATATATTTGCATGCCTACTCTTCAGTTGCATGGTTTGGAAGGGTTAGGAGATGTAGCTGTAGCTTCAGGGCTCTAATGCCCTCTTGTGGTCTACATGGGCATGCCACATACAAAGACGCTTGAAAAACAAATCAGTGAGTAAATTCTAGGTAGACTTTCTATTTTTCCTGACTCATGAAGCACATTTCTTTTTTTTTTTAAATAAATTTTATTTAAATTAAAACCAATCTTATTTTACATACCAATCCCAGTTACCTCTCCCTCCCATCCTTCCACTACCCCCCCATCTCCCCAGCCCACCCAAATCCACTCCTCTGAGAGGATGAGGCCTCCCATGGGGCATCATCAAAGTCTGTCACATCATTTGGGGCAGGACCTAGGTCCTCCCCTGTGTATTTAGGCTAAGAGACTATCCCTCTATAGGGAATGGGCTCCCAAATCCCATTCATGCCCTAGGGATACATCCTGGTTCCACTGCCAGAGGCCCCATAGACTGCCCTGGCCTCCCAACTGACACCCAAGTTCAGGGGGCCTGGATCAGTCCTATGCTGGTTTCCCAGCTGTCAGACTAGGGTCTGTGAGCTCCCACTTGCTCAGGTCAGTCGTTTCTGTGGGTTTCCCCATCATGGTCTTGACACTTTTGCTCATCACTTCTTCCTCTCTACAACTGGATTCCAGGAGTCTGGCCCAGTGCTTAGCTGTGGATCTCTGCTTCTGCTTCCACCAGCTGCTGGGTGAAGGATCTATGATGGAAGCACACCCGAGTGTGTCCTGGAGAAACTTCATTTTCCTGGATTTCTTTACTTTGGGAGGTTTTGAATGTCATCATTTTAAAAGAATTCTGAAATATTACTTTCTTTGTAGATTGGAGGGAAAAAACTTGTATCTTATATTTGTAATTACAGTATTGGTTTTTCAATTTGCAATCTTTTATCAAGTAGAAAATAAAGTTTAGCTTGCCCCTAGGAAGTCTCCAAAATACACTATAACAAGAATGGATATATTATAACAGAGGGAGACATTTTTGGTTTACAGAGAAACCAAGCACTAGGGAAATGTATGGAGATCTACAAAGATGACACCAGCTAACTATCTCAGCAGTGGAGGAGAGGCTACCTTAAATGCCCTCCCCTGATTATGAGATTGATGACTGACTTATATGCCTTCATACAGCAGCTGGTGGAAGTAGAAGCAGACACCCATAACTAATCACTGATCTGAACTGGAATCCAGATGCAGAGAAGGACTAGTGAAGAGCACAGAGGTCCAGACCAGGCTGGTGAAACACACAGAAACAGCTGACCTGAATATCCAGGAACTCTTGCTCCTCAGTCTGATAGCATGGAATACCAGCATGGGACTGATCCAAACCCTAGGAACATGGGTTTCTGTGAGGAAACCTCAGAAAGCTATGGGACTTCCTGTAGAAGCCCAGTATTTATCCCTAGCATAGGTGTGGACTTTGGGAGCCCATTTCATATAGAGGAATACTCCCTGAGCCAAGACACACGGGGGTGGGCCTAGACCCTATTCCAAAGGATACGAAAGACTCTGATGACACCCTATGGAAGGCCTCACCATCCAGGGGGAACAGAAAAGATATGTGACAGATAAGGTTTTAGTTGGCGGGGGCGGGGGGGGAGGTAGGGGATGATGGGTGGGAGAAGGGAACCAGGATTGTCATGTAAAACAATCCTGTTTCTAATTCAAATAAAAAAAGTTGGGAAAAAAAAAAAAAAAAGAAAAGGAAGTTTAAATTAATCCACTAGAGGGCGACAAAGGATTATATCATTAGTCTCAAATCCAAGAAACCCAAGCAAGTCTGCTAATTTTATTCTAAGGTTCAAGTCAACTTTTTCCCACATTACAGACTGAGTCTTTCTTATCCCATACTTTTCAGCTTGAATTTATTTAAACTGTGGGGTTCTTTTGTGTGTGTGGTGTTTGAGACAAGGTTTCTCTGTGTAGCTTTGGAACCTGTCGTGGAACTTGCTCTGTAGATCAGGTTGGCTTTGAACTCACAGAAATCTAACTGTCTCTGCCTCCTGAGTTCTGGGATCAAGGGTGTGTGCCACTACTTCCAGGCCTAAACTGTAGTTTTAAAGTAGATCACACACACACACACACACACACACACACACACACACTCTCTCTCTCTCTCTCTCTCTCTGTCTTGTTCTTAACAGTGTTTATTTTGCCATAATTAAGAATATTGTTTCCCTTCTTTAAAAACAATTGAAGATACTTATTCCTTATTAGCATATGATACTTTGCCCACAGACAGGAATTTAGTAAGAGGATACTGTGGAGTCAATGTTACAATCTTAATACATGATAAACTGATTGGTTTAAAA